TAAAGCTGAATACTGGCAGCTGTCACCATCTCACCATTTTGTGGAGGGATGCAGGATCCATCCCTGGTAATGCCATACATTTTGCACCCACCATGATGCTCACAGGATTTGTGTTCTCCTTGCTCAACCTACCTGTTCCAACACGGGGAGCTCCTGCTTGTGCCCTGAGGGTCTCATCACTGGTGGGGCTGTGACCAGGGGGTCCCGTGGCTGGGAGCAGCAGGGTTACCCAGACTGGTTGTCATCCTTTCTCCTCCCAGCTGGGCAGTGGTCAGGCACTCGCAGACTTGTTTCTCCACGCTTCATCTATAAAACAGCGAGGGATGAGGATGAAAAAGGGTGTGATGACGGAGCTTGTGGGCTGTGGCTGCGCTGTGCTGGCAGGCATCCGAGTGCGGGGTGCTACCGCTCTCCTGTGAGGCCATAGGAAGTGTTTCACGAGTCAGATAAGAGAGACCATCACTTCCTCCTTCTGTGCTCGCAGGGCTGAGCTGCCACCACGGCTGCAGCGTCCACCCCGACAGCCGGCACGCAAAATGGACCAGGAGACCCTGGGAAGCGTGGTCCTGCTCGCCATCGTCACCCTGATCAGCGTGTCCAGAACGGTGAGCCAGAAATCAGCATTGGTGGAAGGGCTGAGAAAAAAAAAAAACAGTGATGTGTGCTGAGCTGGTCCCTGGGCAAATAACCTCGTGCTGTAAGTGCGTGCGGGCGCAGGCACCGCTTTGGCTTTAGGGATGGTTTTCTTCCCTTTTCAGGGATCGTCTTGCGTATCATCATTTCAATAGCCCTGCTCTGCATGTTGCTCATCTGCATGTCAGCTAACGAAAGGGATGCCACGCTGGGGCTGCCGGGGACAACATGAGCTTCGTTTTGATGACTGGGATCTCTTTCTCTGGAGAAAGCCCCAGTGCTGCTCTTTGGCAGGAGCCTGGTGGGCTGCAGGGCTCAGAGCTTCGCACGGAGCTGGGTGAAGGCAGCAAAACTGCACCGACCCCTCCGAGAAGCCTGCTTGGATGATTCTGGGGGCACCCAGCTGTCCTGGTGCTGCAGCTCAGCTAATTTCAACTATCCGCAGTCCCTCCCTAGAAGACTGTGCGTTTCCTAGAATGGGGAAGTTTCCTTTTTTAGATCTTATTCAGACCCCTTATACTCATAACTATTCTTCATGGCTTTTTAAATCAAGCTGCAAGCTTCTCTGCTCTTCAAATGTCTTTTTAGCCTGATCATTCTTTACAAATATTTAATCATTTGAGCAGAAAATGCTGGCCGAGCAGCCAGATAAGGGAGTGGGGGTTTTGCCCCGGGTGCACTGAGATTGTCCGAGTTCAATGCGAACCAGAAGCACGGTGGGGATCTGATGCAAACGCTAGAAATCTTCTGCCGAGGCTTCTTGGTACAAACAGAGATTTTCACCGCGGGCAAACTTCACAATCGGACCTAGGAATGGGCTGTGCTGCAGGAGGGGAAGTGGTGGGAGCTCAGCGTGAGCCTGGGCTGCCACCAGGGGCGGAAAAAGAGGCGAGGACTGGGTGAAGTTTTGACGTAGGCACTGAATGCTGCATCATTCAACCCAATCCTCTTTTTCTGGTAAATGCCCGGTGTGCAATGTCAGGGGGTGGCACAATAGGGTGTCACAGCACACACCACAGATAGAAAGAGCTTCCCAGATGTGTTTGTCTGACCGGGATGCCTGACCTTAAATGCTGCTCTGCCCCTCATCCCTCTCCGTGCTGGCGTTGTCCCCTTATCTTTAACACCCACCCAGCCGCTCTCTTCACTCCCCCTCCTCAAAGGGACAGGGGGAGAAGGAAAAGCAATGAAACAGGCTCGGGGGTGGGTAAGGGCAGGGAGATTGCATCACCAGCTCCCGTCATGGGCAAAAGCAGACTCAGCCTAAGGGGAGAGCAATGTAATTTAGTGCCTGTTGGGAGGCGGACACTAGCGGGGCTGTGCTCAGGCCCATGCCCGTTGTCCCCCCTCTCAGCCCCCCCATGTCTCCTGCCGTGGTCTCCTCCACGGGCTTGCAGATCTGGCCACTGGGCCTGCTCGGACTGCGGGGGGCTCGTCCATGGGCCGCAGCCTTCCTCCAGGCCACATCCACCTGCTCCACGCGGGGGCTCCTCACCCAGGGGGAGGGACTGCAGCGGGGAGAGATCTGCTCCATTGGGGGACCCATGGGCTGCAGGGGGACAGCCTTGCCTCCACCAGGGGCCTCTCCACAGGCCGCAGGGAACTGCTGCTGCCTGCCTGGAGCACCTCCTGCCCTCCTGCTGCACTCGCCATTAGGGCAGCAGAAATGCTTGTCAAGGGCTTGGCAGTTGTGCTAAACTCTTGCTGTGGTTCCCGTTCAGCACAGCAGAAAGAAAAGCCGACCTGGTGAGCGCTGCTGCTCCAAATCCGGGGTGCAGGCTGCGGTGCTGCTCCCCACCCTCATTTTTTGCCATCACCTTGCTCATGTCAGGAGTCTCCGCATCCTGCAGAATGACTCGGGTGGCCGGAGGTCTCTGAGTCATGCCTGTAGCTTGGTTTTGTTCTTGCATCACTGCGATGTTGCAATCCAGCAGCTCTGAGGGCAGAGCAGTGCTCGCTGCCCAGCACATCAGGGCAGAGGAAGCCACGTGAAGTGGAAGGAAGGGGCAGCCTTGTACGCTCGCCAGTTTTTGCAGCCGTGCATCGTGCAGACGAGCCAAATTAAACCCTTCGGCCCTCCTCTCTCCTCACACCTTCCTGCTCTCCTCACTGGCCTTGGCTTGTGAGAAACCGCCTTCTCACCTTGGCAGCCAGAGAAGAGCAGGAAATACAACTACAGTGTTACGAGCTGCTTCACACCGCAGAGTCTCCCCATTTCCCCAGCCTAACAGGAGCACGATGCTGCTGTTCGGTGTTTTGGGTTTGGTTCTGCCAGCCCAAAGCCACTGCAAGGGCTTCCTCTGGGTGGGACCTGCACATCACATCAGAGATGTTGAGAGCTTCCAGGAGAGATGCCTGGATTTCCACAGCCCAGGAGACCCAGGACCCCCAGGCCTGTGCAGCCCTGATGCTGGAGGCTGGGAGTGGCTTCCCATCACAGGAGCTCTGCACTGGACAACAAAAAAATGTCATTTGTCTTTGACCAGGTCCTCCTAGACCCCATAAGAAGGTTAATAAACCAAAGATTGGGTCAGCGAGTGGAGGGGGACACCAGGAGCTCTTGGTGGCTGTGCTGCTTGATGGGTCAGCTCTGGCTCTCCAGGGCCAGGTCCTCCAGGACACCGTGCTGGTGGCTTTTAGTGAATGCTGACTTAAAGCCCTGGGGGTTTTTTCCGGAGGAAGGCTGTGCATACTCAAGGAATCACTCAATATTGGAAAGCAAATATCTCAGAAGCTTTTACTGAAGGCAGTAGCAGTACAAAGACACACCCCCAGCATCCGTGAGGGGGAAAAAAAGAAGTAGCTCATTAGATTCCAGGGAAAAAATCCTATGGATTATCAAATCATCCTCCTATTGTTGCGATATTTATTTATTCATTTTTTTTTCTGCTGTCTTCTCTTTTATACGCATCTTCGGCTAATATTCTAAACCACGGGGTGCCTTGGGTGCACTGAGATGGGGCGCGTGATAACACAACGCTTGCAGCTTGTAGCCTGCCACAGCTCTGCCTGCTGTGTTTAGACCCGTGATGGATGGTCTCCGTTTTCGTGGCGGTAGATAAAGCAGGTTTGTCAAGCGCACCAGACGTTATCTCGAGGCACGGCGTTGTTGGCAGCAGCTAACATCCTGACACCACACCGTTGCTTAAAAGTGGGAAACACGACATGGATGCGCAGAGATCTGTCACCCAGACAAGGTTTTCAATGAGCCCATCAGGGAAATGAACAGGTCCTGTAGGATGGCCTTGTTTTGGGAAGTGGGTTGCCACTGATAGGGAAGGGAATCTCTTTTCTCCCTGCTCCCTTAGAGAGTGAGGATGGAGTTTGGTGGCTCTGCCTGGGAAGTTTTTCCCCCGGGGGCACAAATGCCTGAATTGTACCTCTGCAGGTAAAGGAATTGAACAGGGCTCAGGGCTGCTGGTCACATGTGAGAGCATGGGGACCCCTGAGGTGACAGCACATGAAACCCTTGCACAGAAGGTGATGTTTCACCATGGTAAAGTGAGTGTGCCAGCCACATCCTGCACCGCCGCGCATCTCCTGCTGTCCAGGCACACATGGGGATGCTCACGACAGCAGAACCGAGCCCACAGGGACCAGCTGCAGAACTATCTCCAAATCACATCTCAGATCAAACAGCTTGTGTGCTTTGTGGTGTTTTTTTCTTCTTTTTTTTTCTTAACAGCTTTTTTGCCAGCAAAGTGGAGCATGAGAGTAAACACTGCAACGGCAAAGGGATCCAGCGGCCGGGGGGTCCTCTGCTTTTGACCGTGTCTACACTGCCAAGTGAGTAGCAAGCTCATCTCCCTCTTCCTTAGGGCTTAATCCAAACCCTTTTGGGGTCCAAGGTGGGTTCCCAATGCCCTCAGCTTACGGCTTTGCTCTGCAAATTGCCGGGTGCCTTGCAGCAGCGCTCAGACCCGCAGCTTTTGGTTGTGTTTGCTGGTGAATGCAGGACTTGCAGCCCTGGCGTGTAGGGTGTCCTGTCATTTGGGAAGCCCCAGGAAGCACCTAAAGCTGGATGGGTGCCACAAGCACATTGGTGTCCCCAAAAGCTCAAAAGGGAAGAGATGGTGACTCGAGGAGCAGGGGGGTGGCGGAGCTCCTAACAAAGCCCTGCTCCTCTCTGCTCTCCACTTCCCTGCCGCACTCAGTGCATCTTGTCTTTGACATCCCTTCAGAGGGAGCAGGGGGGGGAAATTAATTCCAAACCAGAGGAGAAAAGAACATAAAGTATTTTTTATTACCCGTGAAGTGGTGGCATGGTGCTTGAAAAGGCACGGGACATCAAAACGCTGCCCTTCACAGCTGTGTGACCTCTGCAAGAGGAGAATGTCTCCCTCTGGAAGAGCGTTCCCAGCTGACGGAGGGAGTTGGAAATAACTCCTGTGCACATGCAAGGAGACACATTAACTTTGTCAGAGCTCCTTTCTGCCATGCAGCGCTCCTCTTGTTGTTTTCACTCGGCTCTCAGTGCCCTTAACTTGATTAATACGACTTAAGCACGAGGATTTCCCGAGCTGACAAAGCACACATTGTCTGTTACGCATGCTAGAGGAGGCAAACGCATTTCCCAGCTGCCAGGCACATTCGTGGGGCGGTTTGTTTCCCCGAGCAGGCAGAACAAAGGTGTCCATTCTCTGCAGGAGGAGGTGGCAGGTAAGCAAATCCGTGGGCGAGGTGGTGATGGTGCTGGGGCACCGGCACGCGAGGAGCTGCCTGCAGCATCCCTGTGCCTGCGTGTGGCCATCATGGAGCTCACACTGCCCAAATCCACCTCACCGTCGCTCATGGATGAACCAAAATGATTTTCTTTCTGTTTTCCCCGTGTTCTGATTTTTCTCGCTCACAAATTCCTTCCTAGCCAAAACTGTGGGCATGCCTACCCTACGTTCCTCGCCGTGCTTTGGTGCGCCGGACTCCTCTGCAGCCAAGGTAACACTTGTTTTTATTCCCCCTTCTCCCTGGCATGACTTCCAGCAAGGGATAGAGGGCATTTTGGTGCTTCGGACCATTCCCAGAGGGTCATTTCCCTCTGCTCAGGGTGGAGGGTTTGGTGTGCTGGCTGCTGGGCATGCCACCCTATTCACCCTCAGAGCTGGGAATTGCCTCATTTGATTAAATCACCAGAGCTGCCCTGGAGGGGCTGTTCTTTCTGGAACAGGGGAGCTTCATGGCCAGGGGATGAGGTGTGGGGAAAGCCGTTCCATTCATTCCTGGGTTTCTGATGGGACCAGTGCACCTTTGCATGGCTGAGGGCAGGAATTACACCCAGAAAGTCCTCAGGGAAGGGGGAGTGTGGACAGTACACACGGAGGGATCCAAGCTGGTGTTGGTAATGTGTTCTTCTGTGCTTTATGCAGCTCCTGCTGCTTTTGCTGGCCTGATGTACTTGTTTGTGAGGCAGAAGTACTTCGTGGGCTACCTGGGGGAGAGAACGCAGAGGTAAGACTGTGCAGAGCCCTTCACAAAACCCAGGCTGCTTCAGCAAGCTCCTGCTCAGAATCACAGAGCCACAGGTGGCTGAGGCTGGCAGGGCCCCCTGGAGGCCCCTGGTTCCCCCTGCCCAAGCAGGGGACACCCAGAGCAGGCTGCCCAGGCCCACGTCCAGGCGGCTTTTGAGCTCCCCAAGGAGGAGACCCCACAGCCTCTCTGGGGGGTCACTGAGCAGAGCCTGGCTCCAGACTCTCTGCACCCTCCCTCAGGGATTTAGGGACATGGATGGGATCCCCCTGAGCATCCTCTTCTCCAGGCTGAGCAGCCCCAGCTCTCCCAGCTAGTATTTGCACAATATCTTCCTCTCATCCTAATCAAGCAAATTAAGCACATGAAGAATAAAACTGTTTCCACAGCCGTTGATGGCTGTGAAGATGGACCAGGTCCCTCTGAATGGCCTCTTCTAAGAGCTTGCAGGTGGCAGAAGTGCAAGACAGAGCAGGAATTCTCCCCCTCTGTCACAACCCCTGGGCTGCACCAGCCGGCCTCAGCCACAGCAGCTGGAGGCCGAGGCCTCCTGAGGTAGGTGGCCCATGATAACCAGTTCCCTCCCTCCCTTCCCGTCTCCCCAGCCTCCCGGCTACCTGTTTGGGAAACGCATCATTTGTTCCTGTTCCTCATGTCCGTGGCTGGGATACTCAACTACTATCTCATCTACTTCTTTGGAAGTGACTTCGAAATGCACATCAAGACGATAACCCGCGCCATCTCGCCGCTGCTGCTCATTCCCTAGCTCCCTGCAGACGGAGGGGGCAGCCTGCTTCACGTATCGATACCCAGAAGCAGCTATAATTCAGATGTTTAAAAATGAACCTATAACCCTTTCAGATTGCTGGTAAATCTAATGCTCAGTGGGCTTCGTAGTTTGATTTAACCTTGGCTTTTTCCTTCAGGAAAAGATTTATTGTGAGCGCTCAGCATGCCCAAGGAACGGTAACAACTTCCAGTTAATTCTTCAGAGGTTTTTTCTATAAAACTGAAGCTTGAAAGCTGACTGCATGACTGTAAGGGGTATTTTATGCTTCCATTGTAACCGTGCTGTCCTTAGCTCCTGTCATGAAGAGTAGGAGCTCTCAGCCTCCCCCTGAAGGATTGTGCAGCCCACAAACATCCTCCCACATGCATGCAGGTTTTCAGCATCCTCCTGCACCCAGCTGCCCACACAAATGCACAGGGCACCCTTTCCCTTGCATTTGTTGGTGACTGAGAGCAGGAGGACCGCCAGCTGGCCCCTGTCTGGTCTTCTTTGGTCAATACACGTGTGTGTAATGCTCCCAGCACTGATCCCATCCACGCCTTGGCCTGGGCCTTCTCCCAGAGCTGTGTCTTGAGTCAATGAGCACCAGGTATATTGCGAGGGGTGGGTTTGTTTAGCTTGGCTTATTAAAGCAGCCTAAAAGGATGAAACCCCTTCACTGCCATCTTTTCACTTTGTGGAAAGTACCCGGAGGCTCGGCAGGACGCGGGCAAGCGACACAGCCCCGGGCTCTTGCAGGAGCTGCTGGTGGCCGTGAGCAGCCCTGAGGGACGTGTCTTTCTCACCTCCCTCGCTAATTAGCAAGCTCAATATTGCCACCTCCGTCACTAACGATGTGCCCCTGCATCGCCCATGCCAAGCAGCAGCCTGATGAGAGAAGCAAAGCGAGGCGGGCAAAGAGCCCGGCACAACCTTTTGTAGGCACTGCTGCCATAAGAGCGCTTAAGCTCTTAGCCCGTCTGATTACCACATGCGGGACGGGTAAGCTGCATTTTATGACTCCTTCGGGAGGGACGGAGTCGTGGCTACGTGAGAAAAGGGCTTGCAGAGCTGCGTGCTGAAGACAGCAGCCCTGGCCTGCTTTGCACCACACTCCTCTCTCCGTACCTCAACAGCAGCCACCCACCCTCGGTGGTGGCCACCACCCTTCCAAGGGGCCAGCTCTTCCACCAGCACCCCCGGAGAGAAGGGGCAGCCTCCTCGAGGCCTGGAGCCAGCACTGTGGCAATGCTTCCCACTGCCGGCACCGTCACTCGGTTCAGAGGAGGGGATGCTCTCAGGGGCTCCACCAGCACCACGGGCCTTGCTCTCCAGGCTGCCTGCTCGCCCTGAGGTCTGAGTCCTGGTTATGGAGGCCATTGCTTATTGGAGGTGGCTCTCCCAACCCTATGTGTCCACCCTGTGGGTGTCAGCAGCCGGTGAGGCTCCCCTGGCGTGTCCTTTTTGTCCTCTGCAGCCCACTTGAGCTCCTTCTCACAACTCCCCCTAGCATGGAAAGAGAAGCACCACCACCTTCCTGATTCTCTCAGCTATAAAGGGTAAAGATGAACCAAATGTCTCTTTGGGGTCAGAAAAGCCACCCCAGCACTCTCAAGGTTCTCCGTAAATGGCTAGCTTCCACACACCTGTGTGTAGGTGAAATCATTTCAGGTCTAAGTTATTTTCCAAGGGAACTAAGTCAGGCCCATCTTCTGTAAGCATTTATTTGCAAGAATGTCACCTACTTACTTCCTCAACGCCTTTCTGATAACAAAAGAAATGAAAATGTAGGCAAAATCTATTTTCCATCTCTCTATAAATGGAAGCGATGAGAGCCCCAGACACAAAACAGGTGGTGCACGAATGGAGCGCTATGCAAATCCTCGTGAATGTCACACTCTGTTTCTGTGCTGCTGGCAAGGCTTGTGGTTGCATTTGCCTTTTTGCTCTTTCTATGAGGAGAGGCCGCTCCGGTTTATTGGGCTTCCCTGCCGCGCTGCACAGCTCCCAGTTTTTGGCTTCTGCAGGCAAAACCACCCCATTCTCAGTGCTGCAGCCACCAACGCGTTGCACAACCAGCACGCCAGGAAGCTGCAAGCGTACATCCACCTACAAAAATAAATATAGTAGCATAAAAGACATGTGGATGCATATAGGGGTCATATAGATGTGGACCTACGAGGACCTTCTGTGTGGGACATGGGGGTATAGCTGGTGACAGAGCCTGTGCTGGCTCTATGTGATGTGTCATATGCAAAGGCAAAGGGTGTTTACTTACTACATCCATATGGACATATACAGGAGCTGCTGAGTCACACGAATGCTGGGTTTTTTGGAAAGGCAGGGAAAAGGGTCGCTCGGGCAGCAGCCCTCCTCCCACAGCTTGCGGGCAGTGCACATCAGGGACTGCGGAGGCTGCGGGGAGCTGGGCTATGGCAGGATGCTTTCCATCTGCTGACAAAGCGCCGGGGGCGCACGCGTATTCCTGCACAGCAGCGCATCCCTTTCCATACAGCCACTACAACCCTCTAGTGGAAACTTGCTCCTATCGGCACGCAGGTGCTTCGAGCTGCTCCTCGCGAGATTTCAGCCTGACAGTGATGTAACAGCACCTTACAGCTGTGAACTGATGCATTTTACTACTGAATGCTGTTTTTTTATTATTCCGACACATCGGAACCCCAGTCTTGAAGCAGGACCCCATCCCACCCCTCACAGAGCAAGCAGTCTTGCTCAGCACCGAGCCCAAAAAGCAGGTAGGATTAGAAATCTGTATGCCACCCCACAAGAGTTCCTGCAGCATTTGCCAGCTTCCAGCAAGCACCCTTTCAGTCTGCTGTTGTGTCTGCGCCGGGTTTCCAAACACATTTCTGAGGGCTGGGAGAGAAATTCTGCTGGCACAGAGCAAACACTGACCCTGGGCAGCATCTTCAGCCCCGAGATTGCATTTTTCTGGCAGAGAAGCTGGTTTAGCACCCACAGACACCTTTCAAAAAGCAACCCAATGCCTTGTCGGGGTGGGATGCTGCCAAGCATTTAGGACTGGCCTGGCTTTGCCCTGCCCATGTCAGTGGTGCGCGTTTTGTAGCCACAGTGGGAGCAGGATCAGGCCATGCAGGGAACGCTTGGCAATAATAGTCCATCCTTGATAAATGAAAGGCTAGCACAGAATGAGACTAGTGGTAAAACCATCCCCTGGGTTGTTCTAAACTGATCTCATGCTCCAGCTGGAGTGTATGGGGTGAGCATTCACATGGAGAAGCTGCAGATCCTGCCAAACCCCACAGAGCCCTTAGAGGACATGCTGGCACCCAGGAGGGTGAAGGACCTCCCTTTGGGGCACCCAGGGGACGTGCATGGGCTTCACCATCCCTTTGGGTGACAGCTCCTGTCCCAAGGCCCATCAGCAAGGTGCAGGACACCAAAGGGCAAGCAGCCTCCACAGTGAGCTCCTTTTATATAATAAATAACTTTTCAGTTCTACCTGCAAGGATCTTCTCGCTGTGAGATGATTTCATCAGGCAGATGAGCTTCTGGGGCTCCTTGCTGGCTTTTTATGGAGCTGCTCAGATGCCACCCAAGGGACATCCCACATGTCCCCAGGGGCAGGGGACTGGACACCAATGGGCCAGCTACAATGTGATGACACAGGGAGCAAGCATGGACTTTTTTCACCTAAATAAATAAACAAATACATGAATACATAAATAAATAAAGGACTGGTGGTATCGCAGTGGGGGTTGAAATCTGGGTTGTAGCAACACCAAGTCCACCACAGTGTTTGTCTGCACACTGGGACCCCTCCTAAGGCCAGAGGATGCTTCATAAGGCTTAAAAGAAGGACTGATGCCTGCGGTGGTGCTGCTGGCCACCACTTGTACGAGCTGTGGTTGATTTGTTGTCCTTGTGTTTTCTCAAGAGCACGCCACCCCCCAGCCCCATCACCAAACAATGTTATTCTGCGTTTTTGGCACCATCTTAGTCCTTGAAGGGGGGACACGCTCCAGCTCTGGGGTGAAGCAGGGCAGCATGGTGTCTCCTGGCCACTTGCTTCATGCTCCTCCTGTGCCACAGCACAGGAAATTCTTTTCCAAAGGCAACAGCAGCCCTCCACAGACAGGAGGGTGGTGCTTGTCTTCACCAGCAGCTGTGGTGCTGTGGTTCCACCAGCTGCTATGTCCTTGTGTCACCTCCAAGGAGGCCCCAAGTCCTCATGGTGGACGGATTTACTTCCTTCCATAAAACAAAATACCCCATCATTCATCAAGTTTAGGTTAGAGCTTAGTCTTGAGCTATGCTCAGCGATACTGAGGTGTCTTGAAGCACGTCTCACTCCACATGCCTTCAGCAGACACTGGTGCCGAAAACAATTTTTGTGGCATGACCCCAACACTCAGCCCCACTCCAACCTCATTCCCCAAACCTCCCATGCCCCTGTCCAGCTCTCATCACATTTCCTAACCATCCCCTTTGGTGCCAGCCCCACTTTTCCATCCCTCTCCCACACTTGATCTCCCCTCCCATCTGTCTGATGGGTACGGACAGGTCCCTTGGTAGATCTGCCTGGTGAGCCAGTGCAGGAGCTGACCTGACTGAAGACAACATTTTTTTTCCTTTACTAAGTTATCTTCAACCCAGCTAAGCTCTCTGATCTGTCACAGCTGCAGTCGCACAACCAAGATGCCTGGGCAGATAGGAACCCCACAGAAATACGTGTGGGGTTTCTCCTCTGTCCAGTGTAAATGCTGTCCTGATGTTTTAGTCTCGAGGCACTCTGTGTGGGAGAAGTTTCCTTTCACTCACACAGAGAGTGGCCAAGCCAAAACCCTACTTCTCCCTCACCTAGTCCATGGGATTCACACAGAAAATACGATTGTGCCTGGTTTCTGCTAGCCTTTCCCTGCTGCTGGGCCAGATCTCCAGCAGCACCAACCCCACACAAGGCATACAGCTAACAAATGGAAAATAGCAGCAGGAAACTGT